CATCAGTTTCAATACGGTTGTCAATCTTGTGTAATCATCTTTGCACCCCGGGTATAAAGGTGTCTCTGCATCACTACACAAAGTTTCAAAGGTGGAAGAAAACTGTGTAGAGGATTCAGACCTTATATCACGAAACATATCCGAAATTCTATCACCAAAGTCTTCATTCACAACCTTCTCATTTGCAGACAGTGTAGTCTTTCTAATTTCTCCATGCCATATCCAATTTGTATACCTCAAATTTATCCCATCACAGATAAGATGCTCTTTTATCTCAGAAATACTCCGTCGACTATTGTTTAAACATTTGACACAAGGACAATAGTACAATCCATCTCCTTTACTAGGGGCATTTCTCTGAGCAAACTCAAGAAACTTTTCAACCCCATCCTCATATTCCTTGCTAATTCTCTTAGCTTTCATCCAACTACGATCCATTGTTCTACAGATTATTTAAACAATACTTTACTATCAATCAAAATTCATAACGAAGGAAAAAAAACACAAAATAACTAACAGATTATTTATCACTAAATTCTTATATTTATTACAAAAAAATTATCAAAAATTCGAAATAAATATCAAAAAATTATAAAAAAATTTAAAAACTTCACAACTAATCAACTCCAAACATTTAAACATATTTCTAATACAGTATATAAAAAGGAATTAAGGTTTTCTCACATCTAATGCCTACCAATTAACACCAATCAACGGTTCAACCACATAAAAAATGCAAAATGAACAATACAAGCCAACCACAATGTAAAACTAACAACCCCATTTCATATATAACAGATTTTCATGGCTAAAACATTCAACAAACCAAGAAAAATTGAAAAGAATGAAAGAAGAGGATACTCACAGAGCAGAGAAGCTTCAAACGCGAAGTGAGGCGGCGGCGGACGGGGCAACGCACCGGTTTTCGGTTAGATAGTGGGGGGTAGGATCGGTTTTCGGTGGTGGACCACGGCTGAGCAAGAACGGACGGAAATGAGAGGCGGTCGACCACGGCTGAGCAAGAACGGACTGCGGCGCACGGCGGCAAGGCTCCAAGAGCTCAATGGAGGAGTTTAAACGGTGGGATAGTGGCGGGAATGGCCGGTAATGGCAGTTTTACGGTGGTGGGGCAGAGGGGGACCACGGCGCACTGAAGAAATGGGAAAGAAAGTGAGAGAGTCGAGCGGCCGCGGGGGTTTGAAGACACACTTTCCACGGTGGTTTTTTTAAAAACCGTCGTGAAAAGAGTTTTTAACGGCGGTTCTTTAAATAACCGCCATTAAAAACACTTTCCACGGCGGTTTTCTTAAAAACCGCCGTGGAAAGTCATACCCTCTTCAACTTATTTACAAAAATGCCACCGCGTTTTTTTCCACTTTGTTTTTCTGCTGAACCGCCGTTAGTTTGCGATGTTAAAAGTGTTTTTTCTAGTAGTGATTGAGTGAGATCTGTCAACTAACAATCCATCTAAAGATTTGGTTATTGATAGAGTTTAATGACATCATGTGATTTATATAGTCCACCCTATCTAGAATAACAACACTCTATTGTTGTTGTTCCAAATACCTAATGATTGTATCCATTTTTGATAAACGGATCAGCAAAGAGTACAGTGTTTTAAGGGCATCAATTTCAACTACCTTTAAACAAATGGAAAAAGTCATGCAAATGAATTTTCATGTATAATCCTACTGACCAGTAAAAAAGTCAAGTGGAGCCAAAAGCAGGTATAGAGTTGTATAAGAAGACAACATGATGCATGTCTTTCCTCCAAAAGAAGGAAAGAGGAAAAAGATTTAAAGGAAGCTAAAGTGGCTGGTCCATGCTAGACAAAGTTTCCTCAGAAGGGTTGTGAGATAGAGGTGCTTTAACTTCTTATAAAGAGAACCCCCTCCGCCAACTTCCAACACATATTCCTCGTTCATATTCAGAATGTCGTTTCAGGTTTCCTAATAACATGTGCTCATATCACTCTCTTCTACTGTTTTCTCCGTCATCTTCCACTACAGTGCATAGCACTCTTCCTCTGATCAACTCACAGTCTTGTTCACATGGTTTCTTTCCTTTGAGAGTATCCTCGTTCTTTTGTTCATCTAGCCCTCATTTTTCTCTTCTTTCTCTGCAACTAAATCTACAAGATACCACTATTGGATCTTGTCAAGGGTCATACATAGTATCTTTCGAGTTAGCAACTTCTATTATTTTATGTTTCGTTCCTTTTCGCTTCGAATCGTAAAATAGAAGAGTTAAGTGAATCAAAAACACAAAGGAGGTTCTTGGAACAATCCAAATATAATTCGCTGATCTCGCCAAGAGTATGGGTGCATTTTCTGTGTTGCTGCTTCTGCTCATCATCTTCTGCAATTCTGGGTTGCTCGGCATAGCCAGTGGTTTCTTCAACTTCACGAAGGTCGACACTCCCTGCACTGAGAATAACGTCTCTTGTAAAGCAGATTTAGAAGACAAGAGAGGCGTGCCAACTGGAGCCAACCCTCTTCATAATAGGTAGATTGGAACAGAAGCATATTAATTAGCTTAGCATCTCGAGGGTTGAAGGAATCTCCTATATTCTAATCTTTCTTTTCTTCTTGTTTGGACGCTGCTGCTGTCATTTGAAACAAGAAAAGAGCATATTGAGAAATCGATAGTTAAAAAAATATGTGTTTCTTTTTGGTAGTGATCTGACATGCTTGTGCATGAGCTGTCCCCTAGCTAGGTTCGGTAAAACGCTCATGGATATGTTTTGCGTGCCTCTCTTATTTTATTACTTTGTATCTCGTTTTCATCAACTGCTTCAATCATAAAGCTATCATGCCTTATAAACTAACACCACTAGTACCCTCCCTCCTTATCTCATAATCTAGTTTTCCTATATGCACCATAAAACGACCATCTTCAATTTCTTGATGCAATAAAGATAAGATTTTGAAACTGTTGAGAGTTCTTTTGGTGCGTAAGCACTCCAGCTATATTATATTTAATCAATGAGCAACACTGTTCGATGAGTTGTGACCAGAATTAATTAGAAAAAATCTTCCAGATGATTCTTGAAACCAAAGTATGTATGAACCATGTACATGAAGCCAATAAGAAAAGGAGAAACCGGAACAATCCATCAGTGCTTATTATGACAGACCGAAGGGAAAAAGAAAGGGAAGGTCTCGAAGTTTGAAGAGGTCAAAGCAATGATATTTACCAGAGGAAAGGTAGAGGACGTAGGTTGCTTTTTCAAAACATGCGTAGGAAACAAAGTGTTGTAAGCTTTTGTATTGTTTTCCTTTTAGGGGTTAAAATAAAGTTGGGTGTTTTATTGTGGATGCATGCGATGGACGAGGTCTCATGAGCATGTGGCAGAGATGAAAGAAGAGAGTGAGGGTTGGTGAATTGTAGAGGATGATTATTCTTTGGCTGCCGTTTACGTGTTGGTTTCACCTTAATGTTCTCTTTTCTTGTCCTATTCATTCTCCCGTGCTCCTCTTGGATCCACCCCAAAATGGGATTACCCATTTCACGAGCAAAGGAGATTTCTTACAAATATAAATAATATAAAATTTCTTCAGCCTTCCATACCAATGCATCACACACACACAAACACACAATCTATTAAAAACAAAAACTGTTTCATGATAATAAAGGAGAATGAGATAAAAAAACAAATGGTAATCTCCTCTGGTCCTAAATATAAGACCTTTGTACTTATGTATAAAGGTCTTATATTAAGTATAAGGGTCTTATATTTAAGACTGAAAGAGTACATCTTATGTTTACATATTTGGACCCATATGGACCTTGGTGGAACCCATAGGATTTTATGTAATACATAGAACCTATGCTAAGAATTTTCCTACAAATATATAGTAATGATTAGGAATAGGCGTAGCGAGAGAATTTCATAATCTTCCTTATATTTTGTATAAAATGAAAAAGAATTAAAACAATATTCTGATTACTTGTTAGCTGGAATGAAAATAATATAATAGCATATAAATATTCATTTTTTATTTTAATTTATTTAATTTTCAATATATTAGAGATAAAAACACTATATTAATGTTTTGCATTTGAAATTTGTTTTTTAAAAACCGTTAATCAGATCCCCTAAAATGTTGGCTTTTATCTTTTGAAAATTTTATTTTGTCTAACTGCTAATGTGTTGAACTTTTGATAAGGCGACATAAATATGGCAAATATATGAAATATTTTCGTTGGCAAGAAAAAAAGAAGAGAAGAAATATTTCAAATAGTGGAGGAATTACGTACTTTCCATAGCAATCTTAAAGCGTAGGTAACCAAAACTATTCATTTGACTATTAGTTGTTAGCATTACATTAGTATCATTAGTGTCGTTTAATTACCTCTATACAGTATATACATGCAGAACACACGTACAGTCGACAATATAAAAAATTACTACTCCTCCAATCCTTAATTTAGGATCCAATTGTTGAGTTAGTTTTGGTCTTAAATATAGGATCCATTTCTTATATTTATTAATTTTCTCTAAATTACCTCATGGATACTTCTTCAACCATAATCAAGTAGAAGAAGAAGATGGGGTGTTAAAAAAAGATGACTATGGTATTTTAGGAAAAACATGTCATATTTCTTATAATTAACTAACTTATCTAACTTCCTTAATCTAATCAAATTAGTTAAATAGGTCTTATATTAAGGATCGGAGCAGTACTATTTAACTAACACATTAATAATTGATTCCTTACACCTCAGCAACTTCAAACCCGACAAGGCTAAAAAAAAAATAAAAAAATAAAATGGTGCCGACCATTGACGCACAGCCAATAATGTACCTAGCTAGGGGAGCCCACTACTCTTTCGTCCACATCCACTGTTCATATTGGTACAAAGAAATATGTTAACTGGATACTAGGATAGGACTTGTGCCTTTATGTGGAAATCAATGGGCTCAACATATATACAAGTTGTTTATAAACAGCACACAATTTTTTTTTTCCACAAGTGCAGATATACACATAACAGGATTTTAAAAAGACAAACCACCGTCGTCCCAATGGTGAACATGCTTCATTATATATTAATAGAACACAAAATACAAATACATGGGCATATATTAGAGCCGTCACAGGCATTGGCTCCTTCTGATTTCAAAATTATGGCTTCGTCTCAGAATCACTATATACACATATGTATTTTGGTGTGGATATATATATAGATATATCACACAACGTGTATATGTATATATGTCACTTAGACCTGTATGTATAACACAGAAAATGGTGTATAAAATAGGACACTTAGGTACGTAAATAATGTATTGGAATGACCGGAAGGAGTGACTGTAAATTTGCCGACATTTGAACGAGAGATTGATGAGGTTAAGCAGGGAGATGGCACTCGCGTGGGGTCACAGGGAAGCGTGACCTATCCTGGCAATAGTCATAGATCATGTGGTTGACACGAACCCACCTGTACTTTCTAGCGTCGATTCCATTTAGAGTCTGGTAATCAGGGCCCTCCCACCAGTTTCTCGGATTAGACGCACAGTTCGAAGGTCCTGGCACGGGACAACCTTCGATGTCGAAGTCCTTGTAATATGCGTAGAATGGTGCTTTGCTCCAATCTATCTTCTCCAACCCTCCCCTTGTTGCCCAATCATCTGCCTCCCACAACGTTGAGAACACCCCCATTGCCTGCATCTTCGGGTACGGAATCCCCCTCGCTTCGTTGTTCTTGTACACTCTGATCGGAACATCATCAACTTTGAACCTGCATGTGTAACACACGCATGTTGCAACACATAAATTAATCGATTGATGTGTCCGTAAGTACGTAAATAATCACGCATTTGCGGTTGTTTAGTATATTGACTTACACAACCAGGCGATGGGTCCAGAGGATAGTGTAGGTATGGAAGTCAGCGGAAGGATCGAACCAGAGGTTGACTCGTTGCTCTCTGTTTCCCTGTCCGTGGACGTAGATGTTTGTCTGAACTGTGTACGGCTGACCAGTTCGGTTTCCCAAGAACTCGAAATCAAGCTCGTCCCGAACCGAGTCCGTGTCCGAGTTCATCTGCGCAAAAACGACGACTCATGATCAGTATTCAAGTCATAGAAAGATATATATGTTTGTGAGTGGGAATTCTTACGTAGAAGGCGGTGACAGTTCCAGCAGAGTCTCCGGCGACGAGCTTGATCTTCATGCTAATACGGCCAAACAGGTACTTTTTGTAGGAAGCGAAGCCACATCCTGAACAAACAAGATTAACGGTGCATATTATATACGATTCATTAAGTAATAATCAGCACACCAACTTCTCCGTGAATTAATAATGAAATAATGGGTACGATAAAAGATACAGAAAGAAAGAAGGGATGGATATGGGAAGAGAGAAAAACCAGAGTTTCGATCAAGAGTGAGTTGGGTGATGGCGCCTCGACCGATTTGCCTGAGATGGGAATTAGACCACGTGACTCGAAAATCCTGGGCAAAAGTGGCGGGTCTTCCCCAAACACACACAGCAGACATCACAACCCATAACAGCGTACAGACTCCAACGTGTCTCCAACTGTAAAACACAGCCATATATCCTTATATCCTAGTATTGTATTTTTGGTTAATTCTTGGGAGAGTACATACATGGGAATACAGAGAATTATATTGGCACACACGCAACGCATATATTTATAATAGAAAAAGGAGTGGAAAGAGACGAAATGCGGAGAGTGTGTGGAAAAGGGGATAGCTTTCGGGACAGCTAATGATGGAGGAGGCGTCATGAGGGCCTACCCCAAAAGCATTTTGTAGTTTTGTGAGTGGGGATTGGTTGCGTCTATCCGAATAGGAGAGAATGGCCTAAGCATTTACGACGGATGGATCATCAACATCCAGCCCACCAAACTTGTATTCTTTTCCCCGTGTGCGCGTGGGGATCATATACTCTCTAACAATACATGTATATTGAAACATACAAGCTATCATTGATATCAGATACCCACTACATATATACGTGTGAGAATTTTGAACACGATACTTACTCCTACATTGAATTGAATGGTTCTTGACTTGTAATTTAAAGATCCACATGACGCCGCGAGAGTGTGGGCCGATCCATCTCAGCCCTCGATCATCACACGGCAAGCTTAGCAGTGCATGAAGATTTTGTTTGGAACTGGGTTTAACGCTTGGAATCACACCCTTTCACTCATTTGATTCTCCGTCGCGGCACTTTGGGGGTCATTCTAGATCAGTGAGTGCCTAGGTTTGCCCTGCCTAATGTGATATGACCTAAGAAGAGCTAGATCATCAAGTGCTTAACCATTGGCTTAGGTTGGGACCAGATCCTGCCTAAAATTTTTTGTGAAAAAAATGAAAAAGATTTGGTATGAATCAGATCCCATTCTTTTTCATTTCAATAGTTAATTTGCTTGTTATTTTTGTAAAATTTGTAGGATGTTGTAAACGCAAACAGGGCCTAGGGAATAGGTGTGGGAATGACAAATGACAATAAATGGGAGAGGTCAAAACAAAGGGCCTGGTTGGTGACAGAGGAACTCTCTCCATTATTTGGGTTCTGGACTACCCTACGAAGAAACATCTGTGGACAGCCTACAGAGAGGTTGATTGATTTCGATTCCACGGCTCCTATCACTCCAATACTTGGACCACTTAATTAAACTTATTTTGCGCCAAATTTTAAAACAAGTTAAATGGTTGTGCAATTGATAAAATCATAGTTCATTCCTCCTCAACATATTATTGTTAAGTTTTCCAATGAAAAGTTGGCGTTCCGGGTGTGGAAACCCAGATTAATTCTTCCTTTTTAAGATCATAGAGAAAATAAAGATGCCATTAATGCTACAGTGACACCACCTCAACGTTTTGTAAGTAGTGTGTGTGTGCAAGTTTTCTTTAATTTATGTGTGTGTGTGCATGAGGGTTCGTAATTGTCCCTTAAATTAATACGGGAGAGCTTCTATCTTCTTATAATTATAAAGTAGCCCTTTTATTCTTTCACTTTAACAACATACTAGTGGAGAAAGTAAAGTGTAGAAATAAATTAATAATCAGTGTCAGTATCTTTCAGCTTCTAAACATGTTAATAGTCGAAGAAAAGCACGCATGAAAATTACGTATTTAAACTCATCGGCGTAACTAATTGCAGGCTAATTAATGAATGTTTATTCAATCTTCAAACTGGAAAATCAGGAAGGTTTAGTCATTAGTGGGGCAATAGCCAAGAGTGTGAAAAACGTTGTTTGATTGCTAATAGCCATTATTCATTCCAGCTGTACACAGATAAATATAGCTAACTCTGATGAGAAAAGTAAAGCGGAAAGTCGAAAACCCTTTTATAATAACATGTCACTGTTGAAGCATTTATTGGGGGAAAAAAATGAATAAAGACAAGAAAGCTTCTCTTTATTTCAACTCAATTCTCATCGCAATAAAAGTATATAATAGGGTCACAAATTTCTCTTCAGAAAGTGCCAAGGATAAGAAAGGTGTGTCGTCCTCTCTAATAAGGTCAATTTATCTGATATGTGCTTCTTTGTTTATTATGTACAAAACGAATAATGACTTAAACCTTGAAGCCAAAAAAAAAAAAAGGGAATCGTCCATTCACTTTATTACTACCAAGAGACAAAACAGACAAAGGGCGACAGCTACCTCTTGAAGGGATATATCATATCTCAGTCTCTACTTACAAAACATATTTCTGGTTTTTGTTGGAATCTCAGCTTGACTGAACAATAAAATTTTGTATTTGCTTTCCACAGGATATAATTAAAAATTTTGTACCATTTAATGTAAAATGATTAATGTTTTCATTTACTTAGGACAGACATCATGAATATACGGAGGAACATATTTGTCAGGTTTCGTTTTTTCTAGCCCACTTTTGGGTTTGATTAGATTCATCAGACTCGTACGCCTTTCCCTCTATAATTGCCATGCATGTTACCATTTTCCATTAATTCAACACACCAAATTGCCGTTCTTGAGCTTTAATCTGCTTATTTCTCTGTAGCCAGTCAGCACATGAGCTTGCTTGACAACCCCCTGTAATGGCAAGAACTTGTTCTGAAGCCAGAATTTATCCTTGGACTCTGGCAGACAGATGATTATTGGATTTCAATTTTATGAATAGAGATGAGTTTGAGACCTGGTTGTGTGTCAATATCAGCTAGGCTTTGAGAATATAATACAGATGAGTCATTGGTGTAGTTGGGAATTAAACAATATATATAGATCAAACTTGAAATGCATGGGTTAGTTTCAGTACATAAGCAAACAGCTATATATATTCATATCGTGAATGGAATTTGGAATCTCACATTTCATTTTCCCAGCATGCGCCAAACGGGCAGAGACCCCACCTATTATAAAACCATTGGCGTGCCTGTGTCTTGGACCCAACATGATTGAATATGAGTGATGTGCATGGATCTGTTGTATCTGCAGCAGAAGCCATCCTTTTCCTTCCTTCCACCACTTGCTCATTGGATTGCCATTCAGATGTCGACCTGAACAAGACAGATGTCCACCAATAAGAAAAGACCTTTTCTTTTTTTATGTCTTTTTTCAAAGATATTATTTGGTATGTAATGTTATTCACTAATTCAGATTGAATTCTAAAATAGTAAAGACATCATTGAGTTTCAAGGACCATCTCAAAAATGGGGAGAATTGAACCGGGCCGGGCGTAATAAGAGGATCGAGCATATATATAAGTTGAATCGACATCATTTCTCAATCTGAAACTTTAAGGCCGTAAGTGCAAGTCCTTTTAATTACTTTATCTATCTTTTATCGGGTCCAACTCTATTTAAATTCATGTAAACATCAGATAAAGAGTTTGATGAGAGATACAAAAAATGGAAGGACACATAAACTCACGGGCCTTGAGGTTTTGAGTTCCAATGTGATACTATACGATCAAATCTTCTTGCTGCTGCTCTCTGGTTGGACTACTTCCCCAGTCGTAACCTAAAACAGCAACTTAATTAATTCTTGATGTGATTAAATATATTAATAGCCCTTCTCATACCATGGTTTGTGCCTTATCCACCACTGGTCATATAGAACAGATAAAGATTATTGAATAGTGGTTGTTCTTTCTCTTAATTTGATGTGTACTTCTTAACCACTTTCATATATCCCCGGGGACAGTGGGGCTGTTTCACATCAATTAAGACGTCCAAACCCTTATCTCAATATTTTTAATAATTATCCAGTTTCTCCAATTGTTTGATTGGACACACACACACCCACACGCGCGCGCATATATATATATATATATATATATATATTGCAAATATGCATGTTCACTTGAAAAGTTGAATTTGAAATCCATCTCAAACCTTAATTTTTTTGGGATAAACATCAAACCTTAAATTTATCATAGCAGGTTAACAGGTTTTTATTTCGTTTTTGGCCCCTGCCGTCAACAGTTTTTTTAACCTATGGAGTATGGAGAGAATACTGTGGTTTTAAGACGCATATTATGAAATTAAAATTTTTTTTGTTAGCTAAGAAATTAAAGCTTATAATACAATTAACAATATCTTATAGCAATTTATTTAAAATATGCTATAAACAGTCAACTTCAACGTTTCTATTCAAAAGATGATAAAATACTTTTGAAATAAACAAAAAATAACATTAAATTTATTTAAAATTTTCCTCTTTCCTTTATATCTCCCCCTCTTCCTATCTCTATTTGAGATAAGTTTGAATTACTTGTTTTTTTGTTGTTGCCAAAATTATGAGCATTTTTTACTTAAAATTAGAATGATCAACATTCGATCACCATTAGAACGATATAAAACATGATTTTCTATTATGCATGTTGCAAGAGAAGATTCTTAATTTTTCCCATGGTCATGTGTCATTCTCCTTGACCTCTAGCAGGCTAGCAGGACATTGGGCACTTTTGTATTAGGCATTATTAGGCAATCCTTCAAACGGATTTGGGTTTATAGACATAGCGAAAGTAAAAGGGCTGTGTCGAAAGCGCAGTCCTTTGAGTCCACTGACGCTATGGGCTGGTGTCTTAGGCCTTTACGTATTGCTTGTTTCTTCATAAATGAAATTTCCGATTAGCGATGACCTCCGTTGAGGTCAAACTCTTTAGATCGGTATCGCGTGAGAACTGTTAGTAGTTTGAGCTTTAAGGTCATGTTTCTTGCCACACCAAAAATGGAGATAGTGACAGGAAAAAAGGGACGGGGGCGAGAGCGAGGTAGTTATCATTGCTATGTTACTTTGCAAGCAGCGGTATCCCTTGGGTTTTTTACCCAAAATGATAAATAGTAAAAAAAAAATTTACTCGAGCACGATTGAAATAAAAATAAATTTGTCGAGATGCTATATCTGAAAATTGTTCTCACCGTGATCGAGTTTAAATTTGTATAGAACTCATTTAGATTAAGAACGAGTTCAGTGAGATTCACATCACAAAACGAAACTTGTTTTTGGTTGAACAAATTTAATAGAACCCACGTCAAAAAAGTGAATCCATTTGTCCTCTACTTATATCTTTCCTCATTTAGAGTCCATGTGCTTCTTTCTTTCTTTTTTTTTGTTTGATTAGACTCTACATGCTTCTTTTCTTTTAATCCACATGCAAAGCTACTGCCCATGGACGTGGTTAATTTCCTTCCTCAAATATTCCTATCAGTATAGGATTGTAGAGGGTAGTCATTCGAAGTGTCCTCAGCTGATGCTTGGCAAGTATTTTTTGCCATGTGGGTGCATAGTATTCATTTCATTATTGTGTATATAATGTATGCATTTCCCACTTAAATTTGCCTTCTTTTTTTTCCCATTTCTTCTCAAGTTCTCTGATTCTTTCCGTACTTCTTTCTCCTTTCACACTTTCTTTCAGCAATATTGGTACGTATGCGGTTTTATAAATATTGTATACGTTTTATTTCAATTTGAAACTTAATTTTTTTCTAACTAAAGTATATTCTCTTGATTAAATTTTTTTTGGGAAAATAATTCTCACTATATAACGTTTGGAAAATTTTTTTTTTTAACTGTTTGTAGCCTATTAATAAAAATTCCGTATTCCTTCATAGTAGCAGTAAGAGCAGAAGGGAAGAGGATGTGTATGTCTGAAATCTAAAGCTGTTCATGAAATCAGACTTTAACAACATCGACTCATTTGATTACATAATGATAGATTGAAAGGATAACAAAAGAATCACTTTATGTTGTTTCTCTTTCTCCCACAGAGTGTGAGAGGGATATGGCGTGATAACCTGGGACTGCTCACATCACAAACTACAAGAAATCCTAAAAGCAGATACACCATTTCTAGTTTCCCACTCTACCAATTACTTCACTTTTGAAATGGGGATGAAAAAAATCACACAGAAGAAGTTATTACACATCCCAAATCAACAGCTGTAAATGCATGTCTGTTAGTGGGAGCTTGTCCATCAAATCGGGTAAAAATTGTGGCTTTTTGCTGTTTCTGTGTGCAACTCGCTTTTTTGTATCATCTCTTGTGCTGCTTCTCCTTTCCTTGAATTATTGTATGAATCTTGGTGTGTTTTTGAGAGAGGGCTCGTCACCCAAAGGATAGATGTTTCCTTTTTCGTGGATCCTCCTTTTCTTGCCCCTCTGCGATTTTCTCTTTTGTCTTTTAATTTTATGTTCCATCACTTCAACGCAATTTTAACAATATACATTTGATTATTATGGCGTCATTCAATTACTGTCGTTTGCTACTACCTCCCATCTTGCCCATTCTCTCCATTACTATATCTTCATTTACCATCTTTCACTTCCTCCGCATCACTCTCTTTCCCTTACCTCTTTCCACACCTCTGGTTTCTTTGATATGGAGCAAGATCATCATCTTACTTGTGGTCACAGACCCAGCTTTATTATCTTCTCTCTGTTGTTTCTAATAGTTTCAAGCTGGACCCAGGAGGGATTTGTTACTGAAGGTAAATTCTCAAGTTTCAATACTGATGATTTTGCTTTGAAGCGAGCTTGAACAAAGAATTATATGTTGTTGTTCTCCATGTTGTAACAGGTAGAAAAACTCTGAAACAGAATGGTTCTGAGGAGGTGGTACTTAGTGAGGATGATACAAGTGTGAGAGCGAGGATAGGTTCGAGGCCACCGAAATGTGAGGGAAGGTGTAGCTGGTGTGGTCACTGTGAGGCTATCCAGGTACCTACGAATCCCCAGGTCCAGAAGGAGAAGATGAACACTTCAATTGCTGCTTATGGAAGAGGAGATGAGAGTACAACTTCAAACTACAAGCCAATGAGTTGGAAGTGCAAGTGTGGGAATCTCATTTTCAACCCTTGATGATTTCAGTCCTTACCAGTACCAAAATTTAGATCCTTATATAACTACACCAATCGATTGGTCCATATATTTTGTATGTGAATAGATATTTTCACTTTTTCAGTTATTCTTTTCTCCTTGCATGGATCCTTTTCACCTTTTCTATATAGGCACCATATAGTAATCACTAGCAGTGTGCTTTCTGATATGCTGCTACCATGGATTTAAACAAGTTGTTGTCTGCTTAAGCTCTCCTTTGCAGATTGAAAAAAATTGATTTCCAGCGCATGGAGATTCACAAGAAAAAGTAGATGCAAGATTCGGTTGAAAGTTGAGATGACTGGTCAACTTAGATGAGACGTTTGACTTTAAAGATTTGGATTAAAGTTGAGAGGTGTTTAAGGTGGTATGTGCTAGCATTGTCCGTTGATTAGGGATGCAGTGAGGTGTTTAGAAAAACAAAAGAAAAAGATTTTTTTTTTTTTTTGGGTAAGCGAATGGCATTGCAGACCGCAGTAAATAACTAAATTGTAAAATCTAAAGAGCGTTGCACAGATTTCCACTTCAGATTATACAGGTCTGGTATAAGCTCCTGTGTTCAGTCCTAGTTATAGCCGTACAGATTCATAATCTTTTCTGCAGAAATGACTCAACAAAGAGTAATTGCGTTGCTCATGTATCATATCAACTTTGCGTTTGGTAAAAAGTTTACATGAATGACATTGCACAGCACGTCGATGGCCGTAAAAAAAAAAGAAAAAAAAAGGAATAACTCGGCACGGCACCACCACTTCCGCAGGGATGGAGCCAGGGGGAACTGACAGTACTTGAATAGCCCAAATATTCCTGCAATATACGGAGTATATTTGGATAAGGCCACAGTTCATTTTTCATTTCGTGATAACACGTCACAATGGTTTGTGTACATAATTTTGCCTAAAAATATAAGCCGCATTATGCAATTTCCATTTGCTTCTTGAAACAGAACATTCTTTGATCTGATGTAGATCAAGAGGTCAAGCATCTTTGCTGCGTTATGAGAATGATAATAATGGTATACAGCAAGTGACAAGGGGAAGAATAATATTACGGTCATGTGGGAACAATGCAATCCAATATTGAAGAAGACAAAAGAGAATGTTGGTACGAAGGTCAAGACAGACACAAGTGAAATGCTTCCGGACCACATGGGATAAAAGGGGGATTCCGAATCCATCCCAAGTTTTTTTTTTTTAATGTGTTGTAATTATCAACAACACGTTCCTGCTGAAGTTGGCCCATCCCTGTGACGTGAAACAAATTGTACTGCCCTGAATTCCATTTCTCATTTGATGCTGATGGAGCAACAGCCATCACCAAAGTGATGGAGCCATATGATTAACAAACAACAAGCCTTATCCCACTAGGTGGGGTCGGCTACATGAATCACACGACGCCATCGTGCTCTGTCAACAACCCAATCCTTAGATATGTTGTTGATTAGGAGGTCTCGTTCAATGACCTCATTCAGCGTTCTTCTCAGTCTTCCCTTGCCTCTTTTTATGGGACTCCATCTTGTTTGATCCACCCTCCTCACCGGGGCCTCCAAAGGCCTTCTCTGCACATGTCCAAACCATCTTAAGCGATTTTCAACCATTTTCTCTTGGATAGGTGCCACACCGACTCTTGTCCTGATCTTTTCATTTCGAATCCTATCTTTTCTTGTATGACCACACATCCATCTCAACATCCTCATTTCTGCTACTCCGACTTTGTGCTCTTGTTTTCCCTTTATTGCCCAACATTCACTACCATACATCATAGCTGGTCTTATAGCAGTCCGATAAAATTTTCCTTTAAGTTTCTCAGGTACCTTCTTATCGCAAATAACTCCGGTAGCTTTCCTCCACTTTAACCAGCCAGCTTGTATTCTATGAGAAATGTCTCCATCAATTTCCCCATCCTCCTGTATAATGGATCCTAGGTATTTAAACTTTGATACTTGAGGAATAATTTGCTCTCCCATCCTCACCTCCAAATCCCTATTACCTTGCCTCCCTCCAAAATCACAATGCATATATTCTGTTTTGTTCCTGCTCAAACGGAAACCTTTCGACTCCAAAGTCCTTCTCCATAACTCCAAACTAGTGTTAATCTCTTCTTTTGATTCCGCCATAAGAACTATATCATCCGCGAAGAGCATGGACTTAGGGATTCTTTCTTGAACAGGTTTAGTTAGAACATCCAGAACAATGTTGAACAAGTACGGACTCAGAGAGGATCCCTGATGTAGGCCAATCTTAATAGGGAAGTCCTTTGTCTCCCCCCCAGGCGTCCTTACACTGGTAGTTACCGCCTCATACATATCTTGTATGACTTTGATATACGCAACCCGTACACCTTTCTTTTCCAAAGCCTTCCACAATACTTCTCTTGGCACACGATCATAAGCCTTTTCCAGGTCAATAAAAACCATATGTAAATCTCTTCTTTTACTTCTATATCTCTCCATTAACCCCCTTAGTAAATAGATTGCTTCCGATGTGGATCTCCCTGGCATAAATCCAAATTGGTTTTCCGAAATAGAAGTCTCCAACCTCAATCTATATTCCATCACTTTTTCCCACAACTTCATTGTATGACTCATAAGTTTTATCCCCTGTAGCTTGCACAGTTTTGAATGTCTCCTTTATTCTTGTAAATAGGAACTAAAATGCTTTTCCTCCACTCATCCGGCATATTTTTAGAGCGTAGAATTTCATTAAAAAGCTTGGTTAGCCACACCTCCCCCTCATCGCCCAAACATTTCCAAACTTCAATAGGGATACCATCAGGCCCAACGGCTTTTCCATTGTCCATTTTCTTGAGAGCCGCCTTAACCTCTCCGATACGTATCCTGCGGTAGAAAGCCAAATTCCGATCATCTTCGTTAATTAGCAAGTCCTGCAAGTCCTGAGTCGCATAATTGCTTCCCTCATTAAACAACTTGTAAAAGTAAGCCTCCCATCTGTCCTTAATATCACCATCAGTAACTAACACTTTACCATCTTCATCCTTTATACACTTTACTTGGTCCAGATCTCTCTTTTTCCTCTCCCTTTGCTTCGCGATCTTGTAAATATTTCTTTCTCCCGTCTTTGTTCCTAACTCCTGATAAAACCCTTCATAAGCTTTAGTACGTGCTTCGCTCACTGCTCTCTTTGTCTCTTTTTTAGCCAACTGATACTTTTCCTGGTTCTCTACACTATTGCACAAGTGTATGGCCTTAAAACAATCTTTTTTCTGTTTGACTTTCTCTTGCACACTCTTATTCCACCACCAAGTCTCCTTATCTCTTTGACCAGGACCTTTGGATTCTCCCAAAATTGCTTTAGCTACCAAACGAACCCTTGTAGCTATCTCTTCCCACATCATGTTTGCATTTCCCTGCAACTCCCAATTCCCTTCCTTCAAAAGAGTCCTTTTGAATAACTCCTGCTTCTCTCCTTTTAACTGCCACCACTTAATCCTGGGTTTTGCCACTTGATGGTACTTTTGCCTGGTACTCTTAAAACATACATCAAGGATAAGTACTCTATGTTGGGCACTCACCCCGTCTCCTGGAATCACTTTGCAATTAGTACACAATCTTCTGTCCGGATTCTTAACCAAAAAGAAATCAATCTGTGATTTTGAGACACCACTTTTGTACGTGATTAAATGCTCCTCTCGCTTCTTAAAACAAGTGTTGACAATCTTAAGATCGTATACAAGAGAAAAATCGAGAATAGATTGTCCTCCACTATTAAGCTCCCCAAAACCAAAACCACCATGGGCCCCACTGAATTGTCCTGCTTCTTTACCAACATGTCCATTAAGGTCCCCACCAATAAAAATTTTTTCTTCGAGTGGTATGCTTTGAACCAAGCCCTCCATATCTTCCCAAAACTTATCTTTAAGGTGTGTCTCTGCCCCAACCTGAGGTGCATAGGCACTAATGATATTGATAGTATCCTTTCCAACAATTACTCTTAACGATATTATTCTGTCCTCAAACCTTTTAACCTCTACCACGTTTTTTTTCCATGTCCCATCAGCGATGATACCAACCCCATTCCTTGTGCTCACCTTTCCTGTGTACCAAAGTTTATACTCTCCAAGTTCCTTGGCAGCTTCTCCAGTCCATTTGGTTTCTTGGAGGCATAAGATATTAATCCTTCTGTCCCTCATAACTCCTGCTACTTCCATAGATTTCTCATTTAACGTCCCAATATTCCAAGTGCCAAATCTAATCTCAGTCTCATGAACTAACTTCTTTAGCCGCCTCCGTCCAAGAGAGTGCGGTAGCCCTTGCTCATTTAACACTACATCCGGGCGACGATGCAGCGGCTCTAGCTCATTTCTCACTGTACTCGAGCCATACAGCGCGTCACATCTGGGCAACGACCTAGCATTAGCATAATTACTTCGTTGATCCATGTTCATGAGATTCGACGGGTTTTTACGTTGGCTGTCGAGGGCCTAACACAACCCTCCTCCTTTATCCGGGCTTGGGACCGGCTATACAACATAGGCGGAGTTTGATAGAGCCATATGATTGAAAATACAAAATGTTTTTACAGTAGAGAGTGGCAGCCGTCACAATCTGTGGCTTTATTTTTGGTCCAAGAAATATCAATAGGCAAAACTCCAGGAGCTTGCTTTGCACTTGAAAGTTGAAACTTTTCACGAAAATTTACTTCCACCACTCCTTTTAGCTTTTAGAGGAATCTCATTCTTGAAACTTGAAAGAGCGCACGCCTTCAAATGCAAAAGTAGGTCATTCACTTGAATGGATTATGAAGGATGGGCTGACTTGTGTCTCATGGTCATTGGTAATGGCGCATAAAGGTTTTGGGAATGGGGCGCGTTTGGACAGAGCTGTGCCAACTTGAAGAAGGGGGGAAGTAAAAAATGTTTTTTTTTTGTTACAAAAAAACTGTGTTTTGAATTTAATTCATGTTCTTGCTATAGGATACCAATTGATATTCACTTTTCGAACGTAGTTTCATACCAGTTTGTACGGTCTCGTGTATAGTTTGAGTTTGGTGCAAATCTCTCAAAGTCAAACAAAATGGTGCATCTCAGAGGGGAGCTCCTGGAGTGAGCAATAATTTTCAATTTGCAATTTTGCATGGTAACTGACAAACAAAAACAAACGGCTATAACCCTCAAAAAGGGTCTAAGAAAAAGGAAGCCAATACCTGTAGTAATAGTTACAGTACTACTTCAGATCCGCGGGACAGACCTCACATTACAAAACAATTGAACTATTATTTTCACATAAAATTTAATGTCATGTATTAGTATTTAACATAATACTGAAAAATTGGGTGAAATTGCTGACTCTGTAGGGTGATCGAAATCGTTCACCCAATCACAAACTGTAAACGTGTAAACAAGATCGAACCTGCTCGTGCTTAAACTATAACCATTATTCAGCATCGTAATTTGCCAAAAAAGTGTATTGAATACCAGGAACACGTAAAAGGCATGTTTAAGCAAAATTTCCGTTTTACATCACCTTGTGTCTTTTTGGAATATTATAGAAAGCGAAATATTGATGACCAATGATTTATTCATGCGTAGTTGAGAACCAAATCAGTTTAACTATCTTCACGGGGCATCATCCATGTACAGACAAAATGAATACCAGCTTAAATCATTGAAAAGGGTACTTCAAGTAAAAGGCAATTACTCAACCCAAGTAGAAATATTTCCATTGAAAAGAGTTTTTCACAATAAAAAGGTCCTGAGAGTAGGCAAAAATCAAAATTTGACCATTTAAATCGACACAAAGTAAACACGGATGAAGTTATTCCACATGCTTGCAAGTCTAAAGGCAGGGTATTGCGGACCCTCAACGCTTGTAAAATTGATATTTTACTCTGGAACATACAACAATTTCCGAAAGCCACGCTATGATTGTGCTAGTTCTAAGCTCAAGCTATTTTCATTCTCTCCCCCGCAAGAAAAAATATACAAATTTCTGCTCCAACTCCAAATTAAGCATGCTCTGACAATCATCATCATGAGCACATGTTATTCAAGTTCGACAATATATACTTCTATGGCTATCATTTTATCATGTGTGTTCCCAGATCATGATGGCTAGCACGAAATTCAACAAAAACCAAGAACAGGCTACCCCAACCAGATTGTATTGCAAGATCCTTGTTTCTTACGGCTAAATAAATTTCCAGCTCATATGACCCCAGTCTGAAACATCTAATAAGTGAAGACAGTTAATCTGTCAATGATATTATCAATACCACCTTCCCCTCTATTGAAGACTTGATGTAGAGGAAGGTAATAACCTCGTGGAACCTAAACTTTTAAGAGATAGAAACACGGGCAACAACTAGGTTTGAGTTTTGAAATAAACAGAGGACAAACTTTCAGTCCAAAGCGAATTTATAGGGTACCAAACTCTTCAATTGAGATATGGAATAAATTTCAAACTCCAAATATAATATGGCAGACACACAAAGATCCATCATGAATGAAACAAGAAAAGGTGGTCAAAATTAGATCATCTGTTGTCCATGTCATGTCATTATCCTCTAAGTTCAGTATCTGCCAATAAAATACACTCATTACTCAGAACACATTATCCACAGCCATGCGTAAGCCAAGATCAAAAGTATTACACCGATTTCACATTCTACGTTCCATTCTATAGGGATACCTGGATGAACAATAGCTATTTATTTGGTTGAGCAGACAAACTATTTGACTGTCTCCAGGGGACATAATCCACGTCCCACAATGCCCGAGCAATCTATGCGATCATCGCAACATAATCAGTGTTGAGCCCACTGAATATCCTTGATGTTGACGCCTTCCTTCACCATTTCATAAAGCGGGCTCATTTCTCTCAACTTCTGCACTTGGTGAACCGTGAGCTCGACTGCCCTGTCAATCTCTGCCTCTGTAGTGAACCTGCCAATACCAAATCTAATAGAAGTATGAGCCATGTCCTCATCTACTCCCAGTGCCCTCAAAACATACGAGGGCTCCAAACTCGCACTAGTGCAAGCACTGCCACTCGAGACGGCCACCTCCTTCAGCCCCATCAGTAAACTCTCCCCTTCAACATATGCAAATGACAAATTCAAATTTCCAGTGTAGCGCCTCTCCATGCTTCCATTCACCACCACCCCTTCCAATTTTTCTCTAATCCCATTCAATAATCGTTCTTGCAAAGCAGAAATTCTCTTATGATCATAATCCATTTCCTTCATTGCCAGCTCACACGCAGCGCCCATCCCCACAACCAAAGGTGTAGGCACTGTCCCGCTCCGAATTCCTCTCTCTTGTCCACCACCATTCATTTGGGGCTCAACTCGAATCCTTGGTCTCCTCCTAAGATACAATGCTCCAACACCCTTTGGCCCATAAATTTTATGCCCACTCAATGACATCAAACTTACGTTCCACTTCTCTACATCAACTGGAATCTTTCCCAAAGCTTGTGCAGCGTCGGTATGAAAGGGAACATTAAACTCCTTGCAAATTTTGCCAATTTCCTCAACAGGCTGAACTACCCCAATCTCGTTATTAACGGCCATGACAGATACAAGACCTGTATCAGGCCTAATAGCCGACCTGAGCTTCTCCAGGTCAATGATTCCATCGGACCCAACTGGAAGATACGTGACATCGAATCCCTCCTGCTGAAGATGGCGGCACGAGTCAAGCACACATTTGTGCTCCGTCTGCGTTGTTATCACATGCCTTTTCTTGTCCTTGTAGAAATGCATGACCCCCTTTACGGAGATGTTATTGGACTCCGTTGCGCCAGAGGTGAACACAATTTCTTTTGGGGAGGCGCCAATCAGAGATGCTACTTGAGCGCGAGCGTTTTCGACTGCCAAATCGGATTCCCAGCCATACATATGCGTACGAGAGTGAGGATTACCGAAGCGAGACATGTTGTAGGGAAGCATCGCATCGAGCACTCGAGGGTCTACGGGAGAAGTTGCTTGCACATCCAGATAAAGAGGCCTTCCAGAAATTTTCACACCTTTCATAGTGATGCCCGTTGAATCCTCATGGTGTTGGGGCTCCGCCGCAGCAGTCGCCGCCGCCGCCGCTGTGGACAGATGTTGACGGCGGAATTGATGGGCGAATTTGGTGAGTTGTTGGCGGAGACCGGAAGCAATCAGCTTCGAGGTCATTGGGTTGGACACTGACGGAGAAAGATTCGGTAGCTTACCAGTTTAGGGTTGCTGCTTGGTGAAGAAATAGCAGACGACTTTCTCAATTCCCAATCTCAGTGCACAAATCACTGTAATACGAAAATAGGGATAGAGGATTCGCACCTACCTTCCTTCGCGTGGAATATGGATCCTCGGCTCTATCTTCCAATGAGAAAGAACCTTTCTTGTGAGAAGAGATATTTGCTCCAGGATTTTGCTTTGTGCGTCACTGTGTAGTTTATTAGTGTAGTCGACAACCCTAAGGGCCTGTTTGGTTCGAGAGGAGGGAGGGAGAGGGGAGGTTTCATCTTTATCTTAGGATAATATATTTTTTATTTGAAATAAATATTACTCCTCCGGTTCTTATTATAAGACTCAATTTGACTTTTTATTTGGTCCTAATTATAAGACCCAATCCATTTTGTCTCTTATATTTATGCATTTTTTTTCCAAAATAATCCTTTTAATAATGATAGTTTTAGCCAATATATTTAATTAGCAAGGATATTTTAGGAATGACAACACTTATTTATTATAAATAACCAACTTAACTTACTTCCTTAATTTCCTCAAATAAGTCAATTGGGTCTTATAATTAGGACCAGAGGAGTATAATAATATATTTTATGGATAGAAGTGGAATATTAAAAAAACCATAAGAGTATAATGGTCCAAAATTTTGGCTCCCCTCCAAAAACTCCCAATTTGGAGGGGAGCCAAAATGGGGGAGGAAGGGGACATTTTAGCTCCCCTCCCCTCCAAAATTTTTAACCAAATGAGGGGAGGGGCTCATTTTCCCTCCCCTCCCCTCTCCTCCCCTCCAACCAAACACACCCTAAAAGGTGTGGGGTTCTGTAGATGCCACGTGTCCACTTCCTATCCGTTGGTGTATGACGGTGCTCCAAAGGTGCTTCAAATCGACGTCGTTTATTGCACAACTGGCTGATAATAATTACAATTAATTAAACCAATTTTCAAAAGTTAGGCTTTCAAATCAGTCCACTTAGCCCACGCTCATTAGTAAAGAATTCCGTTCAACAAGCCTACACCACGTTCCATTGCATTTGTGGGTTAAGATCTATAATAAGACTTCGACCCACTTGGCTAAGGTGGTGAAAGATCACATCTTGATCTTCGCAACGTCGAATTGTTCCTTCTCAGCTTCTACCTCCATTTCTAATAAAAGAAAGGGACCGTTTCTTTGCGTAGATTGCTCATTTCGAAATCAGCAGGCTGCTTCTTCCGGGTATGTTATTTTTGTGTTTTATCAGTTCCAAAGTTATTGTCAGGAAGGTTTTTGAGTTTCGGTGATGTCGTAATTCAGATACATTGTTTAGAATACTTGTCAAGATCTGTGTGGATCTGTGAGTAGCTTTGAGTTTTGACCCTGTCTCGTTCATGCTTTAAACATTCTTTTCTCCATTCGAGTTGGCTGCAGACTTGCAGAACACCAATATGTCTGTTTTTCCTGTATTGTGCATAAGATTCGATGATCTGAAACTAAACTACAAGATGTAGTTAACTTTGCCTGTGTAAATGGTCCGCGAGGGGTCAATATTTTTTACTGATGGTGGATTCCTGCGATGAGCAAAAATCCTTGCTTCATTAGTTCTCAGATGTACAAATATTTCCTTATATGAACTGTAATCTGTAGATTGTATGAAGTCCCCTGTATTATATGTCGATATAGAATTTCCGCTTGCTTGAGGATATAACGCGGCGTGTCTTCTTGCCCCCCCCCCTTCCTGATCTGATTTATGGTTGAGTTGCTATTTTTGATAATTAATAGCCTGTTATAGAGATTGCTCAATATGGGCAGGTATTCGGGGAAAAGTGAAGTTTGAGGGAGAGGAATCTCCATCATGTTCAAGTCGGCTCAGAGGAACCAGAGATCCAGAGGCTTCAAGGTGAAGCATGCACTACAATTATGTGTTGCGCTTGGCCTTTGTGTCTGGCTGGGTTACCAAATCAAACAATCTTATGAGAAGAAAGTATCATATGGGGAAAGCACACGAACCAGCGGCGAGACTGTGAGGTTGGGGAGGAAGGATCTCAACCCGCGCACAGAGGAAACCTCCATCATAGATGCAAGGCATAGGGAGGAGGAGGATGAAGAAAGCAAGCATGAAGAGCAAAACAAGATGGATGATACTAATGGCGTGGATAATGAGATTTCAACCCAAAAAGCTGAGCAAGAAAACACAGAAGGGGATTCTGAGCGTCAAGAGGAGTCAGTAGATCAAGAGAAAGCGAGTGAACTGAGTTCTGAAAATGCTGGGACGGGGCAGGAAGGTGAGGCGGATCAAAAGAAATTTGGCGACGAGAATGGCGTAAATGATAGCCAGGGAAATGATAATGAAGAGAAGAAGAATGAAGAGAACAAAGAGACAAGGGAGACTAGAGAGAACGAAAGTCAGCAAGAGAATGGAGAGGCAAAAGAGACAGAGAACCACGAGAATGAAGAAAAAAGAACTGCAGTGAGGGAACAAGAGAAGAATGAAGAGAACAAAAATGAAGTGGAGAACAAAGAGACGGGAGAGACTAGAGAGAACGAGAGTCAGCGGGAGAATGTAGAGGCAAAAGAGACAGAGAATAAGGAAAATGGAGAAAACAGCACCGAAGTGAAGGAACAAGAGAAGAAGAATGAAGAGAACAAAGATGAAGTGGAGAACAAAGAAAATGGAGAGGCTAGAGAGAACGGGAATCAGGAAGAGCATGTAGTGGCAAAAGAGACAGAGAATAAGGAAAATGGAGAAAGCAGCACTGGAGTGAAAGAGCAAGAGAAGAATGAAGAGAACAAAGATGGAGTGGAGAACAAAGAGAATGGAGAGGCAAAAGAGACAGAGAATAAGGAAAATGGGGAAAGCAACACTGAAGTGAAGGAACAATTGGACGATGTTAAAGAGCAAGTTAATGATAACAAAAAGAAAGAGGAGAGCAGCTCATCTGAAAAAGAGCAAGAAGAGGATGAGAAGATTCAGGAAGTGACTTCATCTGAGGATCAAGTCAAGGATGGAGAAAGGAATAATGAGGAGGCTAGAGAGGAGCATTATGCTGGAGATAATGCCGCCAGTGCTGTGGAACACAGAACACAAGATACCACAGATGAAAGTCATAGCAAGACAGAGCAATCTGAAAACAAGGAAAATAATGAGTTTAAGGATGAGTCTAATACCCATGGTACTGAAGAAGCTCATATTGATCAACATGAGTTAGTCTCAAATAAAACAGAATCAGAAAACACTGAGAAGGCTGATTCAGGCAATGGGAACCAAGCATTGATGGAGAGTGATGGACATAAAAGGGATGGGGAGCAAGCTGATTCCACTTCAACATCTTCCTCAGAAAACTATGTCAGCAATGCAACCAATGGAGAGTCCAAGGACTCACCTACTAATGCTGCTGACAAGCAAAACGTTGACAGCAATTCTGACAAGGGAGCGCAAGATAATGTTGTGTCATCCAGTACAGGTGACAACAAAGATGCTAGCCAGGAGGTACAACAAACTTCCTCTGGTGCTTCATCTGAACAGAAGAAAGATGATTCCTCAAAGTCAGAAAATAGTAGTAATTCTGGGCAAAATGACAATGTAAACTCTACTCAGAGCGAAACGGACAGTGATGGAAGCGCTAATAATGGCGTAGAGGCCAACCAGGGACAAGTCAAATCCACTGACACTCCATCAGAACAAAATAAGGAAGAATCCTCTAACTCAGAAAACAGGAATGATGCCAGCCAGAATAATTCAAATGGCAATGAAAATGCTAATGACAATAGAAATGAAAACAAAGACATGACGGTGCCAGGCGTTTCTTCTGATTCCTCAATTTCTGAAGAGAAAGATGCATCTTCCGGGAACAATGCTGATGCAGTGCAGAGTGAGAAACAGAACAATGTTCAAAGCCAGACAAATGAAACTGGAGGTGCTCAAAAAGAATCATCTGTTGCAGGAAACCAGAAAGAAGAATCAACCGATTCCAACTCGCAGGATCAAGTCAGGTCTGAATCTTGAATTTTTCAGAACGTTAACTTGGGAAGGTTGCCAGAGAGACCAATACCGAAAGCAATCACAGTGATGCTTACTGCCACGGAGCTATATTTCAAATAAATCAACTGCAAGAGGCTTCCTGTTATGGTCCTAACCTTTTTTTTCTTTTTTGTTGAGATATGTATTGTTCTGTACGTGGCCAATATGCTATTTAGATTGTTTGGGGGGTTATTGTTATTTGCTGCAGCAATAGAGTTATATGTATAAATCATTTGTTGTTCTTCGTTGTTAAAGTAACAACTTTTACGTATCCATTTCCACTACTATTCGGCCAAAACGCTTTCCCGAAATGTTGATCTTTCTCCTCCTCACCATAGAGTTGGGATACTTGAAGCTTAACTCAGGAATGGATCCGCTCTTTTCTTCTTTTTTCTAAACTTTAATGGTTTAAATTTAACATTTTATAAAAATGTTATTTGAATTGTATTTAAAAAATATATTAATAAATTTAAGCCGTTAAAATTTGATCTAAACAACTCCCAATTGTAAATATAAAAAAATGCTTTATTGTAATAGTTTATAATTGTGAACTATTAAAATCAAATTTTAACTATTTAAATTTATCTATCTATTTTTTATATATAATTATAATAATATTTTTATAAAATGTTAAATTTGAACTATTAAAATTCTAACCGATAATAAAAAGGAAAAAAATGGGGTAGAGAAGGGTAACAGTAGAGATAGAGGAGAGGATCCCTTTCGCTCAACCGTAATACGTTTACCTTTTTCAGTGTCATTGCTTCAGCAGCGGAGTGGCTGCGGTGTATAAAAGTAAGCTCGTGTTCTATTTTACATGGACAAGCTTCACTCTTCTTTTTGACCCAATAAACCTCACTACGACCGATGATCTAACTATAAGTTTCGGGATGCTACTCGGTCAACTCCGCAATTTCTCTGTTCAATGGATTACTTATTCTACTAGCTCCCGTCCCCTTTAACATAGTTACCTAACCTAAATAAATTAAAAAAAAAATTAAGTTAGTTATAGGTATTATTTTTTCTAAAAATATCTGATCATTTATATCACTTAGAGCCACTATAAAACTTTTAATATGTATAACTATTACAAATTTTACTTTAAAAAACAAGTAAAATAAAAAATAAATTAAATTACAATTTTATATTTAATATCAAATTAAATATCAAACTAATTGTTATATTAAAAACAAAAAGCTAGTATAAAGGTACGAGGGAAATCGCAAGGTACGAGTGCATGTGAATCGCATCACTGTTCGGCCACTAACGCTATGTTTGGTACGGGGTTTTCGGAGGGGAGGGGAGGGAAGTTGCTCCCCTTCTCTTTGTTTGGCTAGTATAATTTTTAGAAGGGGAGGGGAGCTCCTCCCTCTCCTCGTTTGATTAAGATGTTTTTTAAAGAGGGGAGGGGTTTTTCTCCCCTCCCCTTCCTTTCTAGCCTCCCCTCCAAAAGTGGGGTTTTTTGGAGGGGAGACGAGAGATGATATTTTAATTCCTTATATGCCCTTTTGATTTGTTAACTTCTGATCAGTCATAAATATTTCTACATAAGAGAGTTCTTTTGAGCATCTAATAAGAGGTTATTAAGATAATTATCTCCAAAATTAGTAAGCATTTGTAAACTTTTTTTCTCTTCTTCTAATTCTAAGAGGCCGTTGGTATTTTCTTTCACCTTCAAGGTCTTTTCTCTGATTGAAATCTATCACTTGTGAGTTTTTGTCTTGATATTCTATAAGTGTGTGACTGTATCTTGTAAATCAAAATTAGTGAATTGTATTATATATATAGTTATATCTTAACAAAATAAAAAGTGAGAAAATTTATTTAAATTTTATAAGGCTAAAATAGTCAATTTTTTATTAGAACAAAATAAGGTATTATTAAAATTGCTCCCTCCCCTCCCCTCCAATCAATCCAAACAGGAGATCATTAAAATCCCTCCCCTCCTTCCCCCTCCCCTCCCTCCCCTTTGTAGCTACCCTCCCCTTTCCTCCCCTCCCCTTCCCTTGATTAAAATCCCTCCCCTCCCCTTCCCTCTATCGAGCCAAACATAGCGTAAGAGAGTGCGCCTCGCTGATTTGATGGTCCCGCTACTATCAACATTGTTCCCCTGAGACCTTCATGCTTAACGTAAAGTTGAACATTATTAAAGAAATATTATAAGGTATTTTTTCAGTCCTGGTATAATATCTAATTGTTAAATTAATTTTGATCCTAAATATAAAATTTATTTTTTATATTTATCAATTTTTTTTAAATATTCCTATGAATCTTTCTTAACTATAATTAAGTAGAAAAAGAAAAAAAATATTAAAAAAGATGATTATGTTATTTTATGAAAAACATGTCATATTTTTTATAACTAACTTACCTAATTTTTTAATCTAATCAAATTAGTTAAATAGATTTTATATTAAATACCGGAAAAGTAGTTTAAAAATCAGACCAATCATTACATTTTGAGCATTTTCAACCAAAATGATGATACCGTATTCCAGTATGTTCAAAGAAGGTGTGAGGATGGGTTCGAACAACTAACGCATACATAACACTGCTTCTAATGCTAGTTGTTGCACCAAACTGGACAAAGCAGAACCAAGTATTCAATTATTTTAAATCCAAGTAAGGGTATGAAACACGACCTAATAAGACTGTCTTGCTACTTGCAAGTTCCACATTAAAATTTATGCAACAATATGAAAATGTTCTATCAAACTTCGACATGGGGCAAGAAATAAGCCAAACAACAGTCACGCGATAACTCCGACTTAACCACCAGATGTTCCTAGTGATGCTTTTTTTCGAAAAGGCCATCTGGACCTGCTTACCCAAAAGAATCCAGTCATGAGCAGGAATTTCAGGCCTCGCGGATTACTAAAATGCAAGCCAGATTGCAATTCTACAAGAAATACAACACTAGCTAACAATAATTAACAATAATATGCATATAATTAAATAAACGACTACTCTTGGTGCTTCGAATAAAATACAAAAGGTGATTCTATAGCTTTTGCAATGTCACTTGTACCTGTGAATAAGAATAACAGTTAATTTAAGTTAGAAGATATCACCAATATTGTTTTCTGAGTAATGGAAAAAGAAATGTCTTTCCATGGATTATACAAACGCCCCCAAAAGTGTTTACTATAATACGATTGATAAATTGACCAAGAAAAGCCCTTGCTTGAACTCATTTTGAACACAGGCTAATCAATTCTCAATTATGACATAGACCTAATAGTATCATGGACTCTCAATCCAACCAAAACCTTTTTGCACACGCAAGCCAAACAGAATAAACTTATCCTTAGAGTTAACGGTAAACTTAGAAAATCTTGAAAAGATGGTCAATGTTAGATTTGAATCATTATTGAAATATGCAAGCCCATGAAAAATGAAACACACCGGCCACTATTCTCATGCTTCAGATGTCATTCCATCCTATCAGATGTATGATATTGATATCTCAAACTCAATGGTGAATTTACAAAAGCAAAAGCAGCTTCCTCCAACAGACTGATCTACGTATGACAGCTGCTCTAGCTGAATATGAGATTACTCAATACTCACAGAATCAGGTACAAACTAAAATATAGCAGCACATTAATGTGTTAAACAGAGAGAAATTGAGCAAAGTCAAATACAAATCTAAAGAATTTTAACATTTAATGAAATTAAATTTTTGAAACTTTCAAGTTGTTGTGGAAAACAACAACAACAAGCAGCTTTATCCCACTAGGTGAGGTCGGTTACATGAATCATATGACGTCATTGTGATCTATTAACAACCAAGTCCTTCGATATGTTGTTGACCAGGAGGTCTCATTTAATGACCTTATTGAATGTTCTTCTTAGTCTTCCTCTGTTTTTTTTTTTATAGGACTCCAAACTGTCTGATCTATCTTCTCACCAAGACCTCCAATGGCCTTCTCTTCATATGCCCAAACCACCTCAAATGATGTTCAACTATTTTCTCTTCGATAAGCGCCACACCTACTCTTGCTCTAATATTTTCATTTCAAATCTTATCTTTTATTGTATAATCACACATCCATCTCAACATCCTCATTTCTACCACCCCAACTTTATACTATTGTTGTTCCTTTATTGCCCAACATTCACTACCCTACAACATAGCTGGTCTTATAGCACTCCGATAAAATTTTCCCTTAAGCTTTGTTGGTACCTTCTTATGGCAAATAACTTCGATAGCTTTCCTCTACTTTAACCAACCAGCTTAAATTCTATAAGAAACATCTCCATCAATTTCACCATCTTCATGTGTAATTGATCCTAAATATTTGAACTTTGACACTTGAGAAATAATTTGATCTCCCGTCTTCACCTCCAAATCACCACTGCCTTGCCTCTTCCAAAACTTGCAATGCATATATTATGTTTTGTTCTTACTCAAGCAAAAACCTTTTGAATCCAAGTTCCTTCTCCATATCTCCAATTTAGAGTTAATTTCTTCTCTTCATTCAGCCATGAGGACCGTGTCATCCACAAAAAGCATACACTTAGAGATTGGATAAGCTCAATTAGAAAATTTAAAACAATAAATAAGTAAGAACTCACAGAAGACCCCTAATGTAGGCCAATATTAATGGGAAAGTTCTTTGTCTCACCTCCAGATGGTTTTACAGTAGTAGTTACTCCTTCATATATATCTTGTATGGTTTTGATATAAGCAACCCGTACACCTTACTTTTCCAAAACCTTCTAAAATACTTCTCTTGACACACGATCATTAACTTTTTCCAAGTCAATAAGAACCTTAGAACTATATGTAAATCCCTTCCTTTACTCTTGTATCTTTCTATTAACCTTCGTAGTAAATAAATTGCTTCTGTTGTGGATCTCCCCCCATAAATAAATTGGTGGGGAACACAATTAAAAAAAAAAAAAATCAAGGCCACACTCAATATGAAAGACACAACATACCCCATGGAAATTCCTTATTGCGGATGTGCAGATATGGGTATGGCTGCATAAAAGTGTAAGGACAAAGTCAAAAACAGGAGGGAAAAAAAAGTATTATTCTGTATGTACGTTGTGCAAGAGTAATTTGGAGATACAACTATAAGGTTATTCTAAATTGGGTTCAAAATGGAATTTGGTTGCACTCATGATAGATGGAGTGTCACACACTGTGCCAAACTACTTGGCCTAAAATAGTGATTGATTGCAATTATCATAGATAAAATGCCATATCAAACATAGAAAAAAAAGTCCATCATTAATGCATGTCTGAGGAACCAAAAAAAAAAAAAATGCATGTATA